CAAATAATATTTTACTGCAGTATTTTTTAAAAATAAAAATTCATGCTAAAAGCCTACGATGAACACAATACCAACCTTTTAAATAAGGTTAGGATCGGTAGCAGTGCTGGGCTGTGATGTATTCAAAGTGAAGGCAAAAAGTCAGCAATACTGATCCTATCGTGATGACTGCTCATGCACGTGTTACCGGGCCCACTCTGCACTGCCTACTGGAAATCGGGACTTGCGCAACGTACACAAATGCTGAAGTTCTGGCTACAGTGGTGGCTGCGGGTAATAAAAGTGCTTTGTTTCTGAGTTAGGAGTCTCAGGTCTTCTGTCAGCATCCCCGAAACTGTGGCGGGCTAACCTGTTAGATTGTGGGATGGGTTAAAAACCCTTCTTGGTCCTTCACAGGTTCTGTCTCCATCACTGACATCCTACCCTTGGCTCGGGCCCCCATCATCTCTGACCTATCGCAGTCACTTAACTGCTCTCCCCACCCCTGCTTTTTCCTTTCTGTCGTACGTTGTCTTTAGCAGCTTGATTTTTTTTTTTCCTAAAATGTGAGATCACAAAATATGAGATCATTAAACTGCTCCATTTAAAAGTATTTCAGTGGTTTCTTTTTCCATAGAGAACAGGAATCTAAACTTTTTGCTATGGCCTATAAAGTCCTATGTGGTCTAGCTGCCCACCCTCCCAACCGCCTACCTCTCATAAACTCACTCTCCCATCTACTCATTAAACTGTAGCCAGATACACCTTTCTTTTCTAAGACATTTTTGCCTAGGGGTGTTTGCACTTGCTGCTTCTTCTGTCTAGTGGGTAGAATTCCCCTGGTTTGCTCCTTCCCATCTTTCGGTAGGGTATTATGAAATAGGCACTAGTAGGGGTGGCAAACACTTTTTGAAAGAATGAGATGTGATACATTTCTTTAAATCTTCAAAATAGTCAACATGGGAAAATTGGAATTTCTCTGCAAGTACTTAAACCTTGTAAAAATCCTAAAGTCACCTCCAAGTCTGCCTAGGCAAAATGCTTTGCCTGCACCAACCCCAGTAAGAATCTGGCATCTTGATACCTAGAGTACGGTCCTTTGCCTCGCAGCATCTCCATCATCTGGGAGCTTGCTAGAAATCCAGAACCTTGGGCCTCATCCCTTCTTACTGAATCAGAATCTTTAGCAAGATTCCCAGGTGGATGCACCTTAAAGTTTGGGAAGCACTGTAGTAGCATAACCCCACTCCCTTCCGTCATAGTACTCACCACTGCATGAGTTATCCTGAACTTTCACTTGTTAATTCTTTACTCACCATCTCTATGCTCCTCTCATTCCCCACCAGATTGTAAGTTATAAAAGAGGAGGGGCTTGTCTGTGTTGATAGCTGTATTCCAAGGCCCATAATAAATGCTCAGATACTTTTGGAAGACATGAATGAACAAAATACTCAGTAATTACCATTTATACTTTTTATGGTAAACTTTCCACCCAAATGTGACCTAGTTTTTTTTACACCATTGGAACTATGTATTGGATCCCTGATGACTCGGTGTTTGATTCTTACGCTCTCTGGGATGGTTTTGTTGTGATACAGAAGGAGGCAGCCTGGATATTTCTCAAAGATCCTTTGAAGTTTTGGATTCTTACCCAAGTTTTTGCTCGCTCCGTCTTGATGTCTCTTACAGCGTTGACTAGTCTTGCTTGTTCTAGGTTTTACTCCTACAAGTCCATTCTTCATATTAAGGATAGATAAGTGTGTGATATAGTAGGAAAGGCATGGATTTGGATCCAAAAAACTAGTCCTACTATTTTTTAACTGTGCCACCTGGGAAGTTAATTGCCCTCTGAGTCTGTTTACTCATCTTTCTAATGGATAATGAAATTCGCTTTCCAGGGTGCTAATGAGAATAACGTAAGCTCATGTATGCAAAGCACTTGGTAGAATAAGGTCTTGGAATTTGGTCAGGAAGACTTAGTTCCTTTCTTTCCCTCTTGCCTTAATCATGTCACTTTTTGCCCAAGTGCACAACCAACCAAAAGAAAACAAGAAAAATTTAAAAATCACAAGACCTCAAAGCCCTTAAACATTATTTAAATGAATTCCTCTACCTGGTATAATCTGACCAAGCTGCCAGTTCCCATTAATTTCTCACTAGACTCCCCCTATCTTACATTTGAGCACGACCGGCATTATTGCATTCTTCTTGGTTCATTTCTGTTTTGCCTCAAGAATATTCCCTGTAGGCCTTATATACTCTAACTACCTTACTTGTACTTTCCTACCAAGGTACAGGATGAAATCCCACCTCTTTAAGGAGATTCCTGGAAAGAACAAGCTCTTACTGATCCAACTCATTTTTGAAACTAATAGGCATTTAAGAGTTTCTATCAGCAATTTAATTATAAACTATTCTGTGTTAATCTTGAATTCGTTCATGCTTGTTATTGTTTTCCCAACTGAGATGTAAGCTTTTTGAAGACTAGAATAGTGCTTTATATTGTTTTATAACTCCCAGTGGGTGGCAAAGTACTGAGTCATAAACCTTGTTGACCGATGGCCAAATTCCTAATGCTGGTACTTAGATTATTATTGGGTACTTTTCTAATGCTGCTGATTCTATCCGAGCCACATGGTTTCCCTCCAGGAAATTTTAAATCGCAGTCTAAAACAAGGGTCCTGGGTTCAAATACCTGTAGGGCTATGCAGATTCATACGTGAGGGTAGCCAGGTGTAAGAATTCAGGGGCTGGTGGGAGCTGTGGGCAACAGGAGTGAGAGTGCTCTGTCTAGAGGCATAAGCACTACTCAGCCAGCTAATTGTGGGTCCACATGTTTTAGTTTGTTAAGAGAAGCCAAGAATCTAGATAGTTATGTACAATTTCTCAATTTTCTTACTTTGGCAAACATTTCAAAGAATTTCAAAACAGTGCAGGCCAAACTAGAGATATCTGTGGGACAAGAAGAGCATGTGATTCATTAGAGCAGCGATTTTCAATCCTGGCTGCAAATGAGAGTCACTTGGGGAGCTTTGAAAAATCCTGATGTCTAAGCCACAGATCAGGCCAATTAAATCAGAATATCTGGGGCTGTGCCCCAGGTATCAATATTTTTTTTCAAAGCTACCCAGTTGATTCAATGTGTGGTTGAATATGAAAACCTCTGTGTTGGAGGCTCTGGTCTACTGTCTCATTTCTTTTGTAAATTTAGGATTGGGATTATTTGCAAGGATAAGTGAGACCTCAGATGATCTCTGTAGGATTCATTGCCTTAGTTAGCATAGCCCTTAAAACTCTCAGCTGTACAACCTCTGCCCCATTTTCCTTGTAGCTTCTGCCATGTGGTAAAACTTCTGGTATCTTCAGCTAATTTCTTTTAATCATGATATTGCTATCATGTTAAAGGAAGAAGTCATTTTTTTATGTTTTAGGAATAAATACTAGTTTATTCAATAAAATTAAATTTTTTTCTCGGTAGTATTTTTGTTTTATTTTTTCATTAGCGTTTTTGAGAATGAATAGTTTCAAATCATATGTGAGGATAGAACAAATAACGTAACTATTTTGCATTTCCAATACCCCAAGTCCTGTCTACTAAGGATGGCTTCCTAAGAACTGAAAAAAAAAATCCTTACAGATCTATAGGAGGAGGATGTGTATAGAAAGACAAAAGATAGAATTGGGGGCATTAAAATGCATTAACTGTAGTTCTCCATTTAATCCCCACACTAGAAAGGTACGAACTCCTGTGTGCATATAATCTGACCTTTGATTTTGTTGATTTAGTTCTGATGTCTTCTCTTTTGACAGATTTTCAAAAATTTTTATAGGTAGTCTTATAGAAAGCCTGACCGTTATCCCAACATTGAATGTATATTCTTTATTTTTCTTGCTGCTCCTTTAATGTGGTCCCTAGGTTTGAGTCACAACGTTGTGGATAATTTACTAGACTAGACACATCAAGCTTTGCCAGTCTCTTGATCTCTTGCTTTAAGTAGCTTTGTCTTATTTTTGAGCTGCAATATTCAAGAGCTTGGTAACGTAGGAACTGCTGATAAACAGAAACATTTGAGGACTATTCCAACCTACAGAGGCACTTTATGAAATCATGTTGTAACAAGGAAACCATAAGGCCTCTGGAAAACTTAATGACGAATTAAGAAATATAGAGAATAAAAACCAATTGCCTTAAGAGGGAAATATTCTTATACTCACTCATTGGGCGATACGAAAATGAGAATTATAAATGTGAGAGCAACTGATTGATGGTTTCAACAATTTGAGAAATTTTGATGGAATCATGAACTGTTTCTTTCAGGAGACATGGTCATTATATTGAAGCCCAGAAATCTGAACTAAATATTACTGGAGACTATATGAGTAATGACTTAATTAGGTTACCTGGATATAGACAGTAAAAGTTTTAACCGATTCAGGGATTACATACCTATACCACATCTACAGGAAGTAAAGTTGTAGAAAAAGTATAACAAATATCGTATTTTAACTTGTTTTAGAGAAATAATGATGCTTATTTGAAGCTTGAGTGAAAAGTTTTTAGATCTTTCAACTGATCCTGGCTTAATGTTGCAACTCTGCTTTAATTTACAGATCCATCTGTGGTAGCCAGGTCCTCTCGTGTCTAATTTAAAGTCTTATTATCTTGTCATTCACTTTCTAAATTAAATTAAAAGTTTTAAGGGGCGTGTGTGTGCGTGCGTGCGTGTGTGTGTATTATACTTTTCTCCCACTAGATTATAAATTGCTTGAATGACCATGCCATTTACATTTATGTTCCTCTCTGTGCCTAGCACAATGCTTTCCACATAGCAAGCGCTAATTAAATGTTTTAAAACATATTGAATTAATTTCCATATACAATATGGTGGTTCATCATGGCATTTCTAATTTAGCTACCTAATTGCTGAGATGAAATAAAAGGAGTCTCTTTTAAATTAGACATAACAAAACAGTGGCAGGATACAAGAAGAAGGAAAAGGAGAAACCATTCCGAGACTTACTCTGTAGTCACTTGAAGTCACATAAAATATAGGGAGGAAGGCCAACCAGATGATACATGTGGTGTACATGGTAAAACCAATGAACTTGGCTTCGTTGAAATTTTCTGGGCACTTCCGCGTTTTGAAGGCATACACAGTGCATAAGATGACCAGGACCACATCGTAGGTAAGTGAGATCAACATGCTGGAATCTTTGACATTGCATTTTAAGATGACTGTTTCCCGCTTCTCTGGAAGGGTGTACCGCCTGGTGCCTGGAACCTCCAGGATGAGCCACACAGACACTACCACAATTTGCACCAGTATCAGACCCAGGCAGATGAAAACCTGAGAACTTGGGCTGATGAATTTTGGCCTCTGAGCGCCATTCTTTACCCCATCGAAGACACGGGCAATGCAGTTTGTCTTGGTCAGCAGGGCTGAGTAACAGACAGCGAAGGAGGTCCCCAGCCCTAGTCGGCGCAATGCACAGATGACTGGTGACGGCTTGGAAATGAAGAAGAATGTCATGCAATAGGACAGGCCAACCCCAAACAACAAGATGTAGCAGAGCTCCCGGCCTGATGCTTTGACTAACGGTGTGTTGTTGTGCTTGATAAAGACAGTCACAACCACGCATGTACACATAAAACCCAGGCAGGCAATGGTGACTGGACCAATGGCCCAGGCATCTTGCCACCTGATGTAGTCCTCAGGAAGGTCAAAGCAGCCAGATAGGTCTGCAGTGGGCCACTGCCCAAGGCCGCAATCCATACAGGTAAACTCGTCAGCCAGGTATTCGTAGGGCTCGCAGGGGATGCAGATCCAGCAGCAGACATCCCCTGGTTGCATATTCTTCATTTCATTGGGTGCACAGGGGTCGCTGCACTGGGACGTGGGGATTGAGTTCCGGGACCAGTGGATAGAGTCGACATCTACTGATAAGGTTTCTGCCCAATGACCAACCTTCAAGTAGGAATACTTGCCGCCCATGTACTGGAAGTTGAACACGTTGTAACGTCCCATTCCGTCTCCAAAAGTGTCAAACTTGACAATGCTATCTGCACCTTTATTTGGGTTGAATGGAGCTGTGACATGTAAAGTAAAAGAAAAGAAAAAACAGAACACTGTTTAGGTGTCTTAAGTGTGATCGGTCAATGACTTTATATCATACACTTAGCAAAACTGAAATAACAAGGGAACAGGGATTCCAAGGCTGAGATAATTTATCAATTACCATTGAATTTACATATTAAAAACTACTGGAGTCTTCAAGCATTCATAAATTCATTCACTTAACATTCCTGAGTGCCTCCTGTGTGCCAAGTGCCAGTGATAATCATGAGTACAATACAGTGTCTGCCTTCAAAGGAGCTGATTATTTAACAGGGAAACCGGTGAACATGTAGTCATATTTTATGTGGTATATAAATATTCATTTCTTGAAAGATTCCACAATAGGAATTGGACAAAACTTCGAATCTCATCTCTATTACGTATTTATATATTTATGTATAGGAATTAAATATTTTCATGAAGCTATATAATTAAAAGGAGGAATTTTTCTCCTTCAAATCAAGAAAAAAAATTTCATTATAAATGGATGGTATGTTTCTTTTAAACAGTTTAGATAATTCAGAAGGAAAGAAAAAAAGAACACTCATCCGTAATCCTTCAACTGTAGTATTTTCATGTTTTGGAGGCTATTCATTCTGACAACACATTTGCATGTGTCTGTGTATAGCATACTCCTATCCACATACATACAACCTGAATATTCTGAAGGCACCTACAGTAGAAGCTAGGTAATTGCTTTAAAGTTTGTTCCTAACTGTACAGGATCGGTAGCCCTCAACCCTGTCCCTTTCTTACAGCCAGTGCCTAAGAGGAGCGCCTCTCTAAGCATCTCTGGTTCCTCTCTCCTCTCTTCCAGCTGCTGCTCATCATGTCTCTCTTGCCAACATCAGCTACCATTCTGTTCACCATTTTTATGCCACCTTCTCTGGTCTGCTCTGTGCCTACTATTTCACACTGCCGACCTTTACTCTTTCCTTAAATGTAGAAGAATGAGGCTGATGTCTCTGATGCACAGACAATCTTTATTAGTCAGGGTAGGCTTGCCTATGTTGGTAAATAGACCCCAAATTGTTTAAGGGCTCAAACACAATGGAAGTTTATTTCTCCCTTGTGCAGTAGGCTAAGGTCTTGGTGGGTGGGTCTCTCCTCCACACAGTGATTCAGGAACCCACGTTCCTTCCATCTTGAAGCTGTACCAATTCCTAGGGGCTCCTTCTCATCGGTATCCATGCAGTGGAAGGAGAAAAAGAGTATGAATTAGGTACACCTGCTTCCTCAAAGTATAAACCTGGAAGTGGCACGTGCTTTTTTTTTTTTTTTTTTTCGCGGTACACGGGCCTCTCACTGTTGTGGCCTCTCCCGTTGCGGAGCACAGGCTCCGGACGCGCAGGCTCAGTGGCCATGGCTCACGGGCCCAGCCGCTCCATGGCATGTGGGATCTTTCCGGACCGGGGCACGAACCCGTGTCCCCTGCATCGGCAGGCAGACTCTCAACCACTGTGCCACCAGGGAAGCCCGGCACGTGCTTTTATTCACATTTATTGACTAGAAATTAGTTACAGGGTCACACCCAACTTCGAGAGCAGCTGGGAAAGGTGGCTTAGCTGATGTGCCCAACTACAGCTATGGATGAGAAAGGGGAATTTGCAGGACACTGCAGTCTCTTACTCTGCAGGTCTTTGCTGTCTTTACTACCTCCTCCCTGAGCTCCGTCCTGCCTTCTCTGGGGCTCATGTTGTTCCAGCCAGCGGGAAACAGCTTCCTCTTCTTGGGTCTAGTTATTTTATGGAGGAAAGGGTCCCTCAATGAGTTGCTTGGGTCCTTGGTAAAAGAAAACCTCACATTTCACCTAACAGCTCTTGCCTACATAGGATGCATAGATGCCCCTAGAGTGTCAGGCTTGGTGTTTCCAGTAATGTGTTGTACCATATATATCAAGTCTGTTAGCAAATGTAATTCAATATGCCACATTTATTCCTCACTTATTATGATTTATTTTCCTTTAGTGATCTTGTTATCTCACATTTGACTTCCCTAAACTTCACCTAGCTTTCTGCCACATTCTTCAAACCCATCACCTATGTCTGTGTGTGTCTGTACTGCAGTTGGGGATTGGCTTCAAGTTCATAGCGAGACACGCTGTAGTCGTAGATGAGTGCATGATTTTGGATTTAGATGGACTATGTGTGATTGTCATCTCTGCCATCTCTGCCTTTTAATAGTTGTATGTCCTTAGGCAAGTTAACCTTTCTGACTCTGTTTCCTAATCAACAAATTATAATATAAATAACAAATTATAAATAAATGTAAAAATGCTAAATAAATTGATCATTTTCTACTGGTTTATAACATTTGCCAGATACTAAATTGTGAGATAATTCATTTCTCTCTGTTATTTGTTGTTTCTCTTGATCTCTTTCCACAGCAGTATGATCTTTTTTGCAACTACTACAGCTTTAGACTATGTTTTAATATGTTAGAACAAATGAACATAGGAGTTGAAACATTATTGCTATATTTTCAGGAGTAGGAATCAATATCACAATTCCTAGATCACAGAAAACTAAATTTATTTAGTCCATGCTTAGAAAAATTTCATTAAAAATTTTAGAGACTCCTTTCACATGTTACCAATAAATAAAATGTTGAATATTTTAACATAGTTTACATCAAGTATAAGAACCTCAGATGTGTTATTAATTTTTTTTATTCTCAACTACACAGTCAATCTCCACCAGTGTTCAGTGGATGTTATTAGGTCATTCTGGAAAAGATTTGTAAAATAAATATGTTTTATAGCTTTAAATATTTCACTATTTTCACAGCTATTCTTGAATATAAAGTTTCTTAAAAATAATATATTTGAAAGGTGACAAAACTGGTTGTTTTGCGTAATCTGAGCCGGAGAGGGTTATTGATAAGATTGTTGGCATGTGAGCTAATAATATAAACACTAAAGATGTAAAACATTCCTTTTATAAATCTTTTATGGAAATCATCTGATATCATTAACTGAATATTGGAACAGACTGGTGGCCTAGTTGAGAATAACAAAATTAATAACACACCTAGGGTCTTAACACTTGATATAAAATGTTTTAAAATAGTCAACATTTTACTTATTTGTAACATGTAAAAGGAATACCTGAAATTTTTTTTTTTTTTTTTTTTTTTGG